CGCGTTCGCAGGCCTTTTGAGGCTTCAGACTCTCGGGCCCCGGTTGTACATATATATATATACACAAAACTTCTCTGCTCTGCGAGTGGCTTGTTGCTTTCAAGGTCTGCTTCCTGGTGTGGGGTCCGCTCAGGGTCGGGTTCGTGTTCAGTTGATTGACAACTAAACTCGTCATTGTCTTTGGCTTTGAATGTGAGAGACTTCTCAGCCACCTCGGGATTGTTCATGACTGAGGACAAGGAGAAAAAGACCAAGGACACGCTGGCGAGGATCAATCCTGCCCAAGGTTGCAACCGGTTGCAACGTCCGTTCTGCAAGAGAGCTCTGCAAGAGAGCTCTTTTCTAAAATCTAGGAACCAAATGAACAGTGCGATTCTTCAAGGAAGCTCCCCCCCGCCGCCTTTAGGGCGGCGGGGGGAGCTTCCTTGAAGAAGCGTGAGCTATCCTGCGTCCATATGTAGTAGTAGATTAAGTAAGCTACTAGCTACCTCTTCTGCTAGCTACTAGCTACCTCTACGGGCCTACCCCCCCCAGAAAAAAGAAACAATGTATCTTCTTCTCGGTTCTCCTATCAGGTTCAGGGTTGGCTCGTCGATCTCGTCCTTCTTGATGCCGAAGAGGCCAAAGCGGCCGATGAGCCAGCCAACCAGCATGTTGCTCAAATCCCACATCGTCAAACCAAGACCAAGTCCTCACCACTGTGAGAAACGCTTGGTCCATGATTTCTGCGAGGACCAGGACCAAGACGTTCTGCGGGCCACCACGAAAGGCCCAAGATTCCCCCAAAAGAACCCGGCAAGACCAGGGGTGCCATGGCAAAGACCAGGCCACTGGTGTCCATCGGCCGAATCCAAAAACGAGGTGTAAACACCATGTGTTTAAAGCAAAAGCGTGAAAAAACAGCACCTCAGAGAGATCCAAGGAGCCAATCATTTGGATGATCCTGGGACACATGAGATTCCCAAGCATCCACAACGCTCCGCCCAGTGCAGCGAGTGGCTCGAATGCAGGAATGGTAAGTCCTTGTGTGCCTTAGCTCCGAACTGGTCACGGCGGTCACGGCAGCGTGGAACTTCTGTTTCTTCCACAACTGGACTTCCGATCGACTGCCACAACTGAACAGCCTTGTTGTTCGGAAAAAGAAACAGCTGTTTTGCATTGGTCGATTGTTATTGGCGACATCACTGACGGCTGAGGTGCTGGTCAAGAACATGCCAGTCAGAAGGCCGACGAAAAGGATTCCCACTGACATTGCCGCACAAAAGAAGATTCCATCACCAGTGTTGCAACTCTTCACCGGCAGATAGTTCACTGCGAATCCCACACCAGCAACCAAGCAACAGATGTCGCCCCGAATCATCTCCATTGGGTCAAACATGTTGATGTCGGATGCTGGAAGACGGATTCACCCCCCCTTTGGGAGAAAACTGCAGATTGATCCGGAAACGTTGACGA